CGAGTTATTAAGATTTCATATTTCTATTTCGAATAGAAAAATTGTACTTAATTCTAAAATCCAAAGCAATAAGCTAGTCTTTCAACGCTGAGCGGAATCATATAAATTACTTTCATTGCAACAGACTTCAAGGTCACACAAATTAGTAGCAAAACCGGTGCCGAAAAACTCAAACCACATGGCCACCAAAATCATTAATTATCACGCGCTGCTGGCCAGCAATTCCAAGATCTTTTCAAAGCAACTTATAATTATGTAAATGGATATTTTTCTACTAATGAGGCAAAAATGAAAAATTGAAAAAAAAAAATTATAAATCAAAAACAAGCTGTTAAATTGAGTGCGCCGCACGCCCTTTAATTATAGAACAAAAACGTAAAATAAAAACTAAAATTAAAATTAAAAGAAATCAAGTAAGAAAGTGTTAAATTGAGGTGGAACCGAATATAAAAATACCCAATTTCTTTGGTCTAATCTCGTAATGCTAATGACAACCGCAATATTTAATATCCAACCTACGAAAGAACAGCAAGTTGGTTATCAAAATACATGGCAAGTAACAACAAAGATAAGCAAGCTGAATGGACATAAGCCATGTGGGTGCAGCTTGCTATGATTGAAGTCTAAACTTCGTAGAGAAAACTACTTCCGACAATGATCGACTTGAAAGTAGCGAAGAATATGTATGCAATAATTTATTTTTAATATTCAAAATAAATATAAATTAAAACAAAATATAAGGCGGTGAAGCGGGAAATCCCGTCCAACCATTCGTACACTCCACCTTTCTCAACCTTTATCTCCTCGTTGGTAGTAGAAATCCGAAAATTTGCGGAAACATCGCAGAAAGTTTGCGCACAGTCCATCAGTGATCTATAAAGAAATTCAAATATTTCGTCAGCTCCTCTGCTCATCATGCACAGACGTACTTCAAGGAAAGTGTTGTCGCGTCAAAGTCTGGTTGCAAAGGAGAGAAGTCTGGATTTAAAACCTTGTTGCCAATAAGATAGAGAGGAGCTTTAGTACACTTACTTGTTGAATATGCCTCGTAGAATAGTATGAAATGGTATAAAATATAACAAAAAATATTACTAAAAGCCTCCGCGGTTTGTGTCTCTACTAAATGATGCTGATACCAATATTTCGGGCAACACAATACGAGTATTTTCTCCTCATACATGTGAAGAGTTATTTGAGTGAAATTTTCGAAGAAATACGTTCTGCGATTCTTGTTTATTATGAAAAGTGGCGTTTACCTACGAGAATGCTATAGGTAAACGTCTTCCCCAGCGGTGATTGTCTTGATTCTTTCAGCAAATTTTTCAATAAGAGATGCAGCTTGTTCTGGTCGGTCAATTACTAGAAAAGCCGATGAAATTCTGGTACTCAAGGAAGCTTAAAGTAGGGATACCACACCCACACAAAAAAAATCCATTAGCAGTCACTCGCTTCTGAAACATTGCTGAAGCGACTCATCGAAGGCAGTAAAAAAAGGCTTAAAAATACGAGATTGTAAACTGAAAAAAGGAATCATGGTCAAAGACCGTGATCCTCCACAAATGACTTTAAAGCCTGAAATGACGGCAAAAGAGACTTTACAGGGTATAAAGTAAGACCTTCAGATGATTTTTCATTCTGATTCGCTACATCCTGGGTATACGATCACTTCTGCGCTCTACTGTAAACAATTAGCCAGCTTACGAACTCTTCAAAAAAGGTGTACGGAAAAAATTTTCTGTTTCATAATGACAATACTTAACCACATATATACATAGATATTTGATAACCAGGCAGAAATTTGCGGAGCTTGGATGTGAAGTGTTTTACGCCACCCATTTAGCCTGGCCCTTGCATGAGCGGTCTTTACCAAACCATTTCGGTGGTTAAAACTTGGCCGACCGAAGAGGTACTGAAAATCATTTAGCCAAGTTCTCCACCGATAAATCACAAAAGTTCTACATTAATGGAACTCAAAAGCTAGCTGAAAAATGACAAAAAAATTATAGATTAAAATTGATTTTTAATAACAAAACTTTTTCCAAAAATATACAAAAAATTTTACGTAGATTTTAATAATTATCAATAAAATATTATAATAAATAAAATAAGTAAATTAAAATTTAAAATATAATATAAGAAATTTCTTTCTGTCTGTACACAGTTCATATCCCCATATATGTATTGTATATACGCATTTGACGGCGCCGTTAGTTGGGTATAAAAAGTACGGAAAATCTTTTTAGCGCACATAATTTACGCGTGAGAAATATTTAAGACAACCCGAACACACACACACACGCACACATATATTTTTTATGATAAATGTTTTGTTTACCAATTTCACATGGCTTTCTCATGCTGCTCTGATTTGTTCAAACCAAACCGGTATCATATGTTCGAAAACATCTGTATCTGCGTAGATGCATGCATACATACATACATATGGAAATGGGTACAAAAATACGAAGATGATTGGTGGACGTTAAAGAAAATGAGCAAGCGAACGGTGGACACTTGAATGCACATTACGCCGTACAAAAAAAGGTAATGTTGGTGACCTTGTCGACACCAGTCTCTTCATTATTTCATTCTTCTTTTTTAATTTCTTATTAATTTTTATTTTTTTACTCATGCCAAGCTCAGCTGTTGTCTGATGTGCATTGAATTATAATTTTTGTGTGCTGCATTTTGTGAGGTCTTCAAGTAAATAAAAATCAAATAAACATCAAAGTAAGGCAGTGGGCAGTAGGTTCTAGTCCACGCAATTGTGGGTAATAAGGCTCGCAAGATCATATTTGCTTGTATGTATATCTCCTTATTACTTGTAGTCCATGTCTAGCCATGTCAAGCAGACCGGTTATATTTTAAGCCGCTAGGTGGCACAGCGTTCCAATCGTTCAGAAAATCTACATTTAAAATACGATTTTGAAGACATTGAAAATGTGTTTCATGTAAAAATGTTTCAATATTTATATATAAAATATATAATTTTTTAAACGAAATATCAAGCAAAACGCACTCATTCCCTTTCCCATAGAGGAAAGGTTTCCGAGTGTCGATCATGTATATCAGTAGACCAGCCCATTTTCCACTTGCCGAAAAGTCCCTTCTCATCAGATTACATTATACACAGAACATATTCTCCAAGCCTCTGTAATCAATGATTTAGACAGTGGGTTGGGCCGTCAGTAACTCATTTCATATTCAAGGTGTTGCATACAAACGTTTTTTACACAAACTTAATAAACCCTTGTATGCAGTAAAGCCTGGTATAATATCGAATGAAGGGAGGAAAACAAACAAAAGTTCTGACACTTTCTCTCCGCTTTAAGATGATATTCTCTATGGGTTATTTGATATTTTTGTTTTCCTAAATGCGTGCAAAGAATTTTTAATTGGTAATTGAGGAAATTGATAAACAAGAGAAGAAGATAAAGTGGTTTCAAAACCATGACAATGAAGCATGTTTTCTTGAAAGAGTAACCAAAGCTATTGGCAAAAAGCAGAGAGGACCAAGTTCGGACGAAACCAAATCTGAGAGACTCGGCTGATATTTATGTTATATTAATCACAGAAGGACTGGAGACTAATTGTACGGGAGGTTTGTGTACCCATGTTAGTATTTTTTGGCAGGTATTTGTAACTATCATATCTATTAATTAAAAAAAAAAAAACTAGTTTGCTTGAAAAAATATTAAGATTTATGATCCTGCTATCGGCCAAAAATATAAGGTCTGTTATATGGGAGGTAGAAGGTAGGCAGAAGTGGCATACCTACCAATTCTTTTTGAGTTCTGTTCATCAAAATGCCTCTACCTCTCGTCATTCCATGAAGTTTGTCCATATCTGTCGCGATTTTTTTATGTCGTTACATACAACGGTCAGCCGAACATACCCAATATACTCTCTTTACATAATAGAGCCGAGCTACAGAAGAAAATAATAATAAATAGCGAATATTCGATTCTCGGCGACACGTTTCATCATTAGATACTAGTCCCTGTTTCCCTGCATCCAAGTTTCTTCTGAATGCTGATAACTTCGGTATTTACTCAGTTATTTAAAATCTAATTTATTTCATTGAGCTACAACCGAACTCCCATTTGTAAATCGATCATTACAAAATCGATCGGTCATTCGGTCATCGATCATTTACAGCAGCAGCGAACGAAAACGACATGGTCGAAGGGCAGAGAGCCAGCACAAACGGTTTCTAAGTTAGGATTGACGGCCATGAATGTTACGTTGTATTTTTTTTTAGTATCGGCAAAGAATAATCCACTAGAAGTTGCTACCTTAAAGCCAAACTATTAACACGACTGTACTGTCAGCGTTTCGACCGTCTGAAGGAAGCAATTGCCCGTAATCGCCTACCTTTTGTCAATAGCAGGAGAATTGTGTTTCAACAGGACAATGCCAGACCACAAACATTGATGTGACTTGCCAAAAGCTCCGAGAGCTTGGTTGAAGAATTTTAATGCAAAAAGACTGTGAAAATCGATAGTCACAAGTTTTCGCCAAAAAAAAGTCAAGTGTTTCTATGAGAGAGGCACAATGATATTGACCTTTAAAATGGCAAGAAGTTATCGGGAAAAACGATGAATATTTGATCGTATAATTCAAACTGCGGTAATTAAAGCCTCCAATTTAATGCAAAAATTAGGGATTACTTTTTACGAGACCCATTTATACATTATTAATGTAAAGTAAAATATTTTTTTAATAAATAAGAAAGAGAAAACAAAAATTAGTGGGAAACAAAACGACGTTCCATCAGTCAGGGGATGGCGGGGTCACAGGTAAGGCCACGTTAGGCCACATAGAGGGAGGGAGAGATCAAAGGAAGTCTAAAATATGGCTCTTTATTTTTGACAATCACTAAAGAATGACGCGAATGTCTGCTTAGAGCTTATAATTCAGAAAAAATTATTTCGCGATCACATCTGGCAATTTCTAAGAATACAAAAGATCAAATTTCAATAGACATTTTAGACACTCACCTTCAAATCATTGATGATCTGTTGGAAGAGACTGCCCAATGCAGAGGTGCAATCGCGTTCTAAAGCCAAATCCATTTTGCTGGGCGTTGATTTCACTTTTTACTCCACCAAAAATCACTTAAACTCAATATTCAGGAAGCGCGCTGAGCCGACAATTTGCGTTTTATTTTATTTTTATTTTTTTTTTTTTTAATTTATTTTTTTAATTTATCTTTTGGTGCTTAATTGACCATCTTCATATAGATACATTAATTGCTCTTTAATTCGCCACACTTTATTTAAATTTGTTTGTTTTCTTATTTACTTTTCGCATTTTAATTTTGTCATTGCAGATTTTTTTTTCTCCGCTGATTTTATATCATCACCATTACATCAATGGCGTATGCAGGGCCTTAAAAAAAGTGCGAGTATAAATATGTATGTACAATTGTTGGACCATACATATATGTATATTTATATGTTTATAGTCACATCGGTATAGAATATCTGGTACTCAATTGGGGCTCAATCGCTCAAGTCTTCACTAAAAGCGCAGCGAATTAAAAGCTGCGCCGAATCAAATGGATTATTTTGACATTTCGACATTTTCGGGTACATACTTTTTCATATATTTATTTGATTGACTTTCATACTGATATACATAGTATATATTATATTTTTTATTACTTCAATGTTGTTTCTTTAGTGTTTTAATTATTTTTAATACACTTTTTTTCGAAATTCCGCTCACACACACACACACACACACACTCTCCCTCTGCGGCGCAATTGTATTTATTTTTAATAATTTTTCTTTTTATTTTTTTGTTTGCTTTCTTATTTTGGCTTATGTTTGTTGTTCGAATTTTTCGTTTAGATCACTTTCTGGGCTCGTTTTGGTTTCGTTGATGTTTTTGCTGTTTGCTCGCGTGTTTTCTGTGTTGTTTTATTCTTTATTTTATTTTATTTTTTTTTTATGTTTTGCTTTTTTAATGTTGTTTGCGTTCTATTAATATCGTAAAATGAAATTGATCATTAATTCTGTAAAGATAAGAAGAGAGTACAAATAAGTAAATTAATCATTGTCTTACGGTTTTAAGGCGTAAAATATGTGTGTTTGTATGTGTGTATATTGAAGAAAGTCCAAAATGGAAAAATTTAATTATTAATCTAGACATTTGTATGTACGTATGTGCTATAAGCTGATCTAGATTTGGTAGAATGGAGGAGATGAAATCGGTTTCATATTATGTTTTTTATGCTTTTCTACTCTCGCACGCAATTCGACTTCGAATTTATTTGTTTCGATGGCGCCAGTTCTATTTAGCTTGGTAGAGGCGTTACGAAATTCGCGAAAATGAATATATAGATATGTGTATATAATTTGTTGTTGCCTCATTTGTAGCCTGAAAAATTGGCTAAGTACGAAGTTTCGTTATTTTTCCAGGCTCCTCGTTAGTGTGTAAGGAGACGATGTGAGGAATGAGGGAGGAAAGAAGAGTTTACCTTAAATGAGTACCTAGGCATAGAGCATCGAAGGCAATCAGGGAGCCAATGAACTAAGCAAAGATGGAGTCCTTTCCAGACGAAGCGACGAAGCGTAACTATGGACTTGTCAGTCCCACCTCGAGAAATTGAAACAAGCAAAAGAAACACTCCTGCATAGCCAAGCAAATAGATTTTGAGAACGAAAAAGTGGATGGAAGTAGCGAAGACTATGTGCAAAGCATACAAGGCGAAGCTTACTAGATTTTAACTAGCAACAAAGAGGTTAGATTCCAGGCTGCTACCAGGGCTATTAATCGGTCATTGCAAGCTGGCGTCCTATGCTTTGAAATTGGGTCTGGTTTGAGCAATAAATGCAGCAAACGCAGGCAATTTAGGAAGACAATAGAACATATAATATGTAAATGACCACTCGGCGCAGACAGAGCTAGTAAATACCTGGTAAAGAAAAGCTGATAGATCCTCAGTCAGCAACCGAAAGAGGCATCGCCGTGTTGACGTATACCCAATTAGTATACCTGTTCAAAATAACCTACAAGTTCTGTGCGGAAACGTGCGAAAGAATGACTGTGGTTTACGGTAAGAATGACGTAAGTGAATGCCAACGCCAGAACTGGTTTGCTCGATTCGTTTCGGACCGGTCGACCCGAAACGACATTCCGCAATTGATAGAGAGCAAGCTCGGCAGGCAAGCTGTCAAGAGTTAGCGAAAGCCTTAGGCATCACTTACGTGACAGTTGAAAGCCTTTTAAGGAGTTGCATGGGTTTATTCGGTGAGAGAAACTTACATTTTAAACCACTTTATTCAAACTTTTTAGGTGTTAAAGACGTACATTTGTAAAATAATTTCCGGAATTTTCAAGGGAAAGTTTTTATAACTCATTGGGATATCATTTCCGGTAGCAACACGAAAAAAGATAAGTCTGCGTTGATAGTAGAGCTCTTGAAGGGGTCATCAGAAGTAAAAAAAAAAAACGTGTGTTAGATTAATACCATAAACTAGAACCTGAACGAGGGAAAATAAAAAGTGAAAAATGTATTTTTGGTAGATTTTTTTACAAAAAAATATATGAAAATTTTGCTGAGTATTTTTATTATTGTTGCGATTGAAATTAACATCAATTCTTGTATCTCGAGGACCGATGTAAAATTCTATGAGCATCGCTGAGCCTACCAGCCTTTGAGCGCTCACCGTCCTAGGTCTGTATCTCTGAAACTTTTATTCGGATCGACCAGAAAATAAATGGGATAATAATCTCGAGTTATGGTAGAGATTGATAAGACGGTAAAAAGGATGCAGCTGTGAAACCCATTCTACCCCCCCGCCCCCCCCCAAACAACTTCAAAGCTCTAATTGAAGACAAATTAGGCGATGCCGAGATATGGTGGGTTTGGCAGGGAGTTGTGTATACAGAACTGCTGCAACCTTAGGAAATGATAAATTCGGAGTTTTAATGTTAACAATTAAATTGAACAGCCCTTGCTGCAAGTCTTCCAAAAAGCCGTTCAAAATTAATCTATAGATACATACATACATTTTGCATGAGCAGGCTAAAATTTGGTGGATGCAAAGTTTCCACCCTACAGCCCGTAACCTAAACCAACAGATTACCATTTGTTTCGGTCTCTGCAGATACTTTTGCTGTTTTTCAACTTTCCAAAATAACCTTTTATATTGGATGAGTGCATAAGTTCGTGCCCGATTTCAAGTNAATCGGGCACGAACTTATGCATTCATCCAATATATACGTGTATATATGAATGGCAGTGCACAGACCGCCAATAAATATACATACATATATATAGCCGAAGTCTGAGTTCTCCAAAATTTTTATTTTTTTTACTATAAGGTTAAAAAATAGAAGGCGAAAAAGGAGTGGAGACAACAGTTTAAACTTAAGTTCATTGCCATAAGACCCCTTAAAATATTAATTATGATTTTTAAAATATGTTTACAGCGTACAAATTAATTATCAGTTTGTTTAAAAAAAAAAAAGGCCGAACCATTAATATAAAAAATGCGCCAAGTGCAATGCACTTCCATATACGACGCGTAGACATAAATACAATATGTAATATATTATATATAAATAAAGTATTTCCAGCAACCGACCAAAACTTCATATCATATTAGAATAATTACGGTTATACTCCATATGCATACATACATATTTATGCATTTAAGTGTATTTGTATGTTTGTGGTGTTTTTGTGTTAAATTCCATTTAGTAAATATAATGACCGGTCGTAAAATATGCTTAATTATGTTTAATAGCAAAGTGCGTGTCCACCAATGGCGGTGATGCCTTTTCAAGTTGTTGTTGCGTATGCATACATAATATTTAAAACCAAACAATAACAATAAATAAATCATTTATGTGCATTATTGAGTTTTGTTTTTATTTTTTATTTTTTTTTTTTTATCAGTAAAGTAGCGGCAGTTGGCGTTTGGCATTTCGCCGCTGATATGAGTTCGGGCAGCATGAAACTTCGCTGCGGCGAGTAAGCAACTCAAACGCTTCGCAGTCAGCGGAGCTACAAGTAAATGCACTTTCACGGTTTCTTAGTGACCTATATAAATATACAGTGGATATTTTTAAATTCAACATTTATACTTTTTTTTTTAATTTTATTTTTACCCATCGTACGCGTGCTCTTGCGTGTGGGTGTGTGTCTGTGTGTATGCCTTTGGAGTAAACAAATTTGTATAAATGCATTTTAATTCACCACTGCATTTAATTAAATGAATTCATTTTAACTGTTTGTGTGGGATGTAATCAGCTTTGAGTTGAAAAAAAAAATTAAACAAAAAAACAAAAAACCTTCCAATAAACAGAGCGCAGCCTGAGATTTCAATTGAATGTGCATATGTGAGTCCATTAGAGCTTCAGTTACCCGGGTAGCGTTCAGTATTTGATACTCGATACTCGCTCGGCACTCATTCGTTGCTCAATTGATCAAATGTTTGTTTAAAATTTTAAAATTTTCAATTTTTTTTGGCCGAAAATTCGTTGATTTTCAATGAGTTTCACACTTTGCATAAATAAATTTAAAATTAAAGAACAAAAGGTTGGAAAATGATGTCAAAAATTTCATTCAAAGCAGCTCGAATTGCTCGAGTTAGTGCTGGAAAAGATTCGAACAAAATCTTGGGCTCTAGTATGTAGTGTTGAAAGCTAAAAGGCTTCATTAAATTAAGTTGTTTCGATTTAGATTTAAATATGTCAGATTTATGTACTTGTCTTTAACGGAACGGAACAAGAAACCCACATAGACATTTATCAAACCTATATCCCTCATTTCTTCAAATTCAAATTATTTGATTAAATTTTTAAATTGGTGGCAACTCCACATAAGCATGTTTATTTTTTTACGGGCAGCCCTTTCATATTGGCTTATTTAATGACCAGACTGTAAATTTTTTATTATTTTATTAATGTAATATTTTAATTGAAATTTTTTTCTTAAAAGTCAGAAATCCTTCTCAAAAATATGCGAGTTTCTTAAGCCTCAAATTTTCAAAATGCATTTATTTTTTATCGAAGTGGCCACCTCACGGATGCGATCTTCTAATATTTTCCCGAACAACAGATTTTTGTCTAATTTTTTAGTCTTCCAACAGCTCTCATCGTAGCATCCATCGGATTTACATTTGGCGATTTGGAAATGAAGTGCGAAATATGACTATTAAGCCATTCTTAGTTCATACGAGTCTTATGACACGGTACCCACGGTATTGCGATCTCATTCTCATCCTCATCCTCATCCTCTCAGACAATCAACCTGGATAAGGGAGCTAAAGTCTATGATTTTCTCATTTGCTCATTTTCCCTCAAACTTTCGCCATATTTCCTTGATTTTAATAAGCGATCCCACAGTCTGATCTGTGGAGCGTATAGTGTGAAAGACTGAAGCCTACCGTCAACAAACTGATTGGACCTTATCAGTCTGGCTTCAGACCTGGTAAGTCAACCATTGACCAGATATTCACCATGCGCCAAATCTTGGAAAAGACCCGAATAGGAGTCGCCTTTACGCCATAATGTCTGAATTTGGTATCCCCGCAAAACATTTACGGTTGTGTAAGCTGACGCTAGGCAACAGCAGAAGCACAGTCAGAATTGGGAAGGGCCTCTCCAAATCGTTCGATACCAAACGAGGTTCAAG